GTTTCTTAATGCATAATGTGAATTTGCAAGATCTTTTCTAATGAGTTTATAGTTTTGAAACTTTTAAGTTCAAATTGATAGAGAATTATATGAACGAAAATAAATAAATCTTAAACCTAGAGTTCGAAATATGATTGCCCTAATGTTTAATGTGAACTTACAAGCTTTTATGGTTACCAAACTTTTCCTTTCCGGCCATACAAACCTATAATTTATTTTATATATAAAGGTTTCTAAATATAAAAAAAGTTCAAAGTAATCTTTGTGTTTCTTATTGCCAATGAATTGTGAAAGGTTTTAATGACATAAAGACTCCTATACCTAAAAGGAATATGTTAGAATATGAATAGGAACAAGGATAGTATAATGACAAATATATGACCAAAGAAATTGAATTTTTTTTATGATTAAGTGAAATATCAATTGTTTAGTGTCACTTCTTCATAAGAGGCTCATTGAAAAGGAAAAGTTTTTCTTAGAACTTTGATGACGACACTGAAGCGCACATAAAGCGAGGCAAAGCGCTCAACACGTTTTGAGCCTCGCTTTAGGGCTTAAGCGCGCTTAAAGCGCGCCTTTGATAACATTGCACTACATTAGACTCCTTTCCCAACTAGGACACTACATTATAATCCTTTTCTCAAGTAGGATTCTACATATTATTCTTATTCCTATTCCTATTCTTCGGTTATCAAAAAGAATAGGAATAGGAATAATATGTAGAATCCTACTTGAGAAAAGGATTATAATGTAGTGTCCTAGTTGGGAAAGGAGTCTAATGTAGTGCAATGTTATCAAAGGCGCGCTTTAAGCGCGCTTAAGCCCTAAAGCGAGGCTCAAAACGTGTTGAGCGCTTTGCCTCGCTTTATGTGCGCTTCAGTGTCGTCATCAAAGTTCTAAGAAAAACTTTTCCTTTTCAACGAGCCTCTTATGAAGAAGTGACACTAAACAATTGATATTTCACTTAATCATAAAAAAAATTCAATTTCTTTGGTCATATATTTGTCATTCATGTTTACAATTATTAGTTTTGGACTAAACATACACATTTTATTTTTTCACCCTTTGCGCCTTTTTTCATTAAAGCCCACGCTTTATTTGCGCTTTGCGCTTAAAGCCCCCACGGACCTTAGAGCTTTTTTACGCTTTTCGCTTTTAATAACACTGATGTAGTGTCTATAAATAGGGTCAATGTAATAATATAGATACACAATTCAATAATATTGTTCTCCTATATTTCTCACATGGTATCAGAGCCTCTACGATCTTGGTAGAGAATCAAAGAGCTCTGTTGCCAGCGGGCGGCTATTATCCATATAATTCTTCCTATCGGGCCGACGATTATGTTAGCAAAAGTTGGGTCATCATGTATCTTTTCGGTGACTATTTTCTCATATCTAATTTGCATAGCATCGTGCATATTTCCGGTAACTACTTTTTTCATATTTAATTTGCATAGTACAATGCATTTTTTTGGATTATCTTATATCTGATTTGTGTTGCACTGTGCATCATTCCGGTGACTACTTTCTCATATCTCATTTATATAGAGCACCGTGCCATCTTTCCGGTGACTAGTTTTTCATATCCGATATGCATAGTACCGTGCCACCTTCTACTTTCTTATATGTTTAGGGTTGTGCCATCATTCCGGCCCTACCAATATAATTTTATTTCTCAGATTGTAAGCACTTTCAACCATCAAATCTAATACTCCGACCTATGAGCATGTTTGGGCCAATTTTTTGACGACTTTCTTGGTTAATATCGACTCGTTCATTGATTTCAAGATGATCCATGTATTATATACTAGATTTTGAGCACTATTTAGCAATCGCTGCACTGTGAAGTCTCTATGGAGCAACCTGAGGGAGTTTAGTAGCCTTGTATGTCGATTACACAAGTTACTCTATGGACTGAAACATTCTTCTTGAGCTTGGTTTGAAAAGTTCATCACAATAATTCAGGAATTTGGCATGACTAATAGTGGAGCTAATCGTTATGTGATTCGTCACATTTTGCATCAAATTCAGTATTTAATGAGAAGACTAAGCACATTGAGATTGATTGTCAATTTTGTGAAGTCTAATGATCAACTTGAAAATATCTTCACCAAGCCCCTCACCGATCCTTGTATTAATTACATTTGTAACAAGCTAAGTACATATTTCTATATGCACTAGCTTGAGGGAGAGTGTTAGAATAGGAATAGGAATAAAAATAGGAATGAGAATAATATATAGAATCCTATTTGAAAAAGGATTGTAATGTAGTGTTCTAGTTGAGAAAGGAGTCTAATATAGTGTCTATAAATAGGGTCTCAATGTAATAATGTAGATACACAATTCAATAATATTTTTCTCCTATGTTTCTCAATCAAAAGTGGAAAAGTTTCCTAACATGACTTCACAAAACTTTAGTTAATTTAATATCTGAAATGTTAGAAAAATAATTAATGACTATTTTGTTTTGTGAGAAATCTATTTTTTAAAGGGTGAACGATATTTCGCTAAGGGTCTTTCACTTTTAATATAATATGAAAGTAGTTCAAATGTAATATGAAAATGTATTGTATAGATAGATAAGTAAATATATCATTTAAATATAGATAGATAATTTTTTATTCATAAAGAGTCCTTTATGTTTTTTCGCAAATTAAAAAATTAAGACAAATTTTGATTTCTCAAGATCCAAAATAAACTCTAAAATTTATGTAAAAAAAGTGAAGTGAATGTCGCATCAATCAATTCAATTTTTTTATGTAAGGAATACAAATTATGTAAATATAAATATACATTAAAAGAGATGTAATTCACTTATTCCATTGACGCGATAGTGGAATTTAATATAATTAGATATCTTCTAAACCTGTAGCATTTAATAATTTGGTTGAATTAGTTAATATTAAATTGACTTAAATGCTTAGTATGTATGCAAAGAATACTTAGAGTAAATACATGTAAATTATTAAGAAATATTTTGGTAGCATTTTTCTTTCCAAATTAGTTCCAATGCCATTTCATATTCATTGTCTGATTAGAGTTTAAGCTCCAATAACAAGACTTCACAGAAAATGTCCCTTTTCCGTGCATTTTGGAGATTGGAATATCAGGAACTAATGGTGGGGAAACGATTGTTGCATTCTTGAACTTCATTTAATGAAACCTTCAAAATTAAGTTATTTTTTTTTCCTTATAATTTTCGTACAACTTCAACCTCAAAATATACCGAGTCCCCAAGTGAATGGTTTAAAACTTGAAAGCATTGAAGGGAGTATTCTTATAGAGTGTTTATACTAGGACAATGAATGTAAGGCATATTTTGTATAAACACTGTTAACACTTAATTGTGGTTAAGTGATGTATATAATTATTTTGATTTGTTGATTCTAAAGGTAAATCATTTAGTTAGGTGTAAACACCCGGTGCCTATTTCCCGTATTTTATGTTAATACAAACATATAATAAACAAACTTTTCAGGTTTCTTGTGACATCACAGAGATTATTTTTTTGGGCATCTTGTTGATTTTAGTTATTTAATTCTACTTGAGAAGATCAATGCTTAGAATAGCTAAGACATTGATTTGCAATACATAGTGTACTTAAATTTTAGACCTTGAAAAGTAAAGAATGAAAACAGATGCTACTTAAAAGCAAACAAATAATTTGAAATGTCGAGAAATCAAGATAAAATAATATGTTAATGTAAATATTGATGAATGCGCAACATAGAACATCAAACTAAAGTTATAAGAGGAGAAGTGTAAAGTAGAGATGAAAGTTCACCTGTATTGCACATAATATATTTTATTTCATAGTTGATCTTCAACTCTTTTTACAGCCCAATGATATTGTGTTGGAACATATTGATCCCATTACTAATTTTGTTTATTTATTTCTCGAGTTCGTGATGGTTGGTTCACCGTGAATGATTCAACGTAATTTCTTATTCAACTCCTATATCTACCAAAATCCTGAAGAAGTATTTGTTTGAAATTCTATTTGAATTGTTCTTTGTTAAACTAAATTAGCCTATATATTAGTAGTAGAAGTTAGAATTCGACTAAAAAAGTGCATACATTACGTGTACCTTTGGATCTCAAAAGGGACATTATCTGAAAGAATTTGAATAAGGTAAAATCATAATGATTTTAAAGTTCGGAAAATTAGGGCTTCTTACTTGATTCAAATAAGGAGAGAATTAATAAGCAAACTTTTAGATGATTTCAAAGTACTAATTATTAAGAATATACCTAAACGACATTTCATTAAGAACCTTCGTGCTTTTAATATAATATAGGATATAGATTGTTCCTATGTGAACTTTGAAAAGTATAGCTATTGCCCAGCTCGGATAACGGGATAGTTATGGTAAGTGGAAGATCAACATGAAACTTGTTTAACAATATGGTGAATTCTCTGAAAATTGAGCAGGGGGGTGACTGGAAAAAGCGGAGGATTACCTAGGATTGATAGAGCTAACCTCAACTATTTTGGGATTGAGCTATGAAAAAGAAAATGAAATAAATAGAAGTTTCTCTTTCTTCTCTTTGTTTCTTGTAATAAATAGACAATCAACATGAAAATAGTTTTAAAAAACATGAAAACGTCTTAACCATGGTGAGTACTCATAAAATTGAGCAAGTGGTTTGAGCTGGATAAAGCAAAGGAATACCTAGGATTAATATAGCCAACATCAACTGTTTTGGGGTTGAGCTTTAGTTAATTGATCGTTGCTTTTTAGCCACGGTCATCCTGTTTTCTGGTTCATTTTCCTTATGAATAGTTCTTTTTATAAAAAGCAAAGGAAATAAATAGAAATTTTGTTTTCTGAAGCCTGGATGAAAACATCCGTCATTTTTGTAAAATGAATAATGCAGAGTTCGTTGGAAAATTCAAGTCTTTGGTGTTTTTATTTACTTAACATGGTTACAGTGGCTCTTCCATATATGTGTATATAACGATAGATATCTGCTAACAAGAAGTGTTGTTGATTATAGATATGGAACCATCCTGGGATTTTGCAATTGATGCGAGAAAACAGAACCTGTAGTCGTCCTGAAGATCCTGTTGAGATCCTTCTTGCTGATGATTGCTCAAGTGATGAGAACACAGATTATAATGTGGTTCCTGGAGGTACTTTTTGTTTTCCTTCACTCTGGGTATAACGTACCAGCTAGCAATTGGTTTTTTTTGGTAGTTACAGATTCATTAGAAGGATTTAATTTTTGAGCCTATAGCATATTGATAAAGATCTGCCTCTTGAGGCATCCAGAGGAATCTTTAAATTGAGCTTCCATGTAGTTGGATGTATTTCCTGATATATATTGCATATTAATCTCTCTATGATATTTTAGCAGTGTTGATTAAGTATATCAACTGCATGATGTATTGAATTCGTGTACAATGTGTGCAAGTGACCAACACTTGTGGAAATATTTCACCTGCTCCTGTTCTGATACCAGGAGCCATGTCTGGCTTCTATAACCATTTTTCTGTGGCCTGATTTAAGTGAGTTCAGGATAATAAATAACATTGGGTTGTAGTAAGCGTTTCCATTAATATGTTATTGAAATGACAACTAGCCTATCTTCATTATCACATATAAATATCTGTTTTTCAGTTTCTGCAGAGAAGCCGAATAGCAACAATGAAGCTCTCAAAAAAAATCATAATGGCTTCCTCCATGGGGTATACTTCTTGCTCCGATTTGCTAACTTCTGTAATTTTGCTGGTATGGTTAATTGATGGATGTGCAGGAAACTCTTGCCATCTGTCTGTAGTATATATGCTTCGTTTTGTATCTACATTCTACAATTCATGTTATATGTGGTGATTGTTCCCTTTTATTTTGAAATGTCATTATTAGTTTCCCAGCTCACTGTTTCTGTTTTGCAGGATTGGTGGAGTGATCTTCTAGAAAATAATTGCAAAGAAGTTGATTATAGTGGCAAAATGGTTTTGCTACTCGACATCCTGACAATGAGCTCTAATGTTGGTGACAAAGCACTAGTGTTTAGTCAGAGCTTGTCAACCCTAGATCTCATTGAACAATATCTTTCAAAACTAACGCGCCCAGGGAAAAAGGGGAAGTACTGGAAACGGCGGAAAGACTGGTACAGGTGTGTATACCTTGTTTAAATTATTTTGGATGATGATCTTTCTCAAAAAATAAATTATTTTGGATGATGATGAAAATTACCTCATTGTTGTTATTGTTAATACTACAATACATGATTTTACTGATTCTCTTTGGCATTTGTTGAACTGTCTGATTCAACACGTTACCTTGCATAAGAGCATAGTTCCTTTTTTTCTTATGGGCCAAACTTGTGAACATCTTTTAACGAAGGGTGGTGGTGAGATTTTTACCCAAGACCTCTGCCTACTATTGTACCATGTTGAAGTGTGTGACCATCTCATTATAACACTTGAGCTATTAGGAACACACTTTTATTTGCTTACTATGTTTTCAACACGCCCTTTCAAGTACAGACTTTAATTTTTATTGATGGGTGGAGATGGAACTCGAACTCTTGATATTTGCCTGTTTGGATATCACATTGAAAAAGTGGACCTTAAGCTTAACCATCCTCAAAAGCCAGTTGATGTGGTGAGGATTGCCCAAGAACATTTAAAGAGACAAATGTCCACTCTCCAATCAATGTGGGACAATTTAACATCATATTGTATACTCATGCTTGTCAACTGGAGCTTGGATAACATAATATGAAGCCCAACATTAGGAAATACAATAACATGTAAGGTTCTGCCTCTACTTCAACTCAAAAGTTAGCACATGATGTGAGAATTGTCCAATACCAAGACTAGGATCTCAGCCTGTTATAATATTATGGTAAAGTGTGTCCATCTTATCTAAAAACTTGGCATGTTAGAGGGAGCACACTTTTATTTACTAAAAGTATCTTCTAACAACATTAGTGCGGGAACCATCTTTGTTGTTGCATTTCTTATGAATATCTCACAATGTGTCATTTGAAAGATACAATTCTTGCAAATTCCATCGTCTTCAAAAGAACATTTGACCTATTTTTAGAGTGATTCCAATCATCTAGTCAAAGAAAAAATTGACATTTCCCCAGTCAACAATGGAAAGAAAACAAGCCCATTGATTCACATATTATGCGGCACACACCTTTACATATTTTCAGAGATTGTCGTTATAATTACTAGCTATCCAAGCGCACTCTCAAAGAAGTAGACATAGTTGTCTACTCATCTTGTTAGTTTTACTTATTAGTTTAGCTTTTCTTATTCATCACATGAGCTCTTTAGGGCCGGATCTCTTCCTTCTGGTTATGGTAAAATGGAACATAAAAAATAATTGGTGCACTGAACATTAATTAAATAAGTAGATTTATTTTAAAAGTTGTCTTATTGAAATTGTCCTCAAATTCCATCTAAACTAAAATTGCCAACATTTCTTCTTTCCTCGCACTATACCTCAGAAGATTTAGAAATGAATTGAGTGTTCCACTTGTTGTCTCCTTATATGGTTTTGGTTAGTCCTCGTATCATTAGCTAGTTTTTGGGGTTGAGTTAGGCGCAAGGTCCATTTCTTATAATAGATCGAACTCATAGTGTTGTCCGTGCTCTAGAAATCCAGTCTTTGACGTGTTGGGGATGTTAACCGTCCCACATTGGTGGAGGGAATTGATTATTTCTTTATATAGCATTAGTCAATCCTCAACTTCACAACGTAATTTTTGGGCTCGAGTTAGACCCAAGGTCCATTTCTTATCAAATATTACACCAGACTTTGTACTACATCTTAGTCAAAGTTTTTCCAGTTTTGATGGTCAGGAAGCCCAATATCGTTGTTGTTTTTGGAAACAGAGAGGGTTACAATAAGGGGAAGTAGATGAACTTGTAGACTTCTTAGGTGCCTTGTAAATCTAGATTCTGACTTACTCCTTTGTGTAAAAAATATTTTCGGAGGTGGCAAACGTTCCTTAATGCTGAGGAATACAATAGTACGAATTGTCAAAAGAAGTTACGATAAGGGGATATAGTGGTGATTGCTATTTCGCTCAATTTATTCTGCGGATGTGGTTTATCTTCGTTTTCTTGCTTTCACTAATTGTGTTATTGAGAGTTTTTGGTCTCCAATTTTGGGTAATAGGATTGATGGAAGAACAGAATCATCTGAAAGGCAGAGACTTGTTGACTGTTTTAACAGTCCATTGAATAGAAGGGTTAAATGCGTACTGATATCTACTAGAGCTGGATCTCTTGGTATCAATCTTTATGCTGCCAACCGTGTAATTATAGTTGATGGCTCTTGGAATCCAACTCATGATCTTCAAGCTATATACCGAGCTTGGAGGTGTGTCTTCCAAATTTGTTCATTATAAAACACCCAGGTTCCATTAGAATATATATTTAGCCTGAATGCTTTGTATGGTTCTAGGTATGGTCAAACGAAACCTGTTTTTGCTTACCGTTTACTGGCACATGGAACAATGGAGGAAAAGATATACAAGCGTCAGGTAAAAGAAAGAATCCAGAATCAGCTCATGTCAGAATAGCTTTTATTTCTCGAATTATTTAAGCGGATGATTTAAGCAGGTAACAAAGGAAGGTCTTGCAGCACGGGTGGTTGATAGGCAACAAGTACATAGAACTATATCTAAAGAGGAAATGTTGCATCTTTTTGAATTTGGAGATGATGAAAGCTGTGATATACCTCTGGAATTGAAGCAAGTTAGAGAACATGCTGGTGAAGCAAACGCAAATGTAGATGTTGGAAGTGTTCTGAAACAAAAACTAACCCTTCCAAATGGAAGCTCTTCTTCTGACAAGCTAATGCAAAGTTTGATCGAAAGGCATCATCCACGGTAGGATGTTCTTTTCTTGCTTCGTTATTTTCAATAATTTCTTCAGAGCATAACTTCTGTTGTTTTCAATGTGTTTTGGGAGTCTTGTGCAATGAGTTTGTGTTCTGAGATTTTTCAATTATACATTTTCATTAAACTATATATAGCTGAGTGTGTATGTGCGTTTTAGAATAAGTTTCACTTTATCTTTCACCTTTCTTAATAGTGTAATGGTTTGCGTGCTTTAGACTTCATAGGAGAAAATATCCAGAACCTGTGGGGGTGACTGATTTGCTATAATCGGAAAAGCCCAATTGTTTTTATTTGTCTAGGCCAGTTTAAGTATGCTCGGTTCCTTTCTCTAAGAGAATAAGTATGTTGATATTTAAAGAATTATGCAGAAAGAAACAGTAACGAAGTATTTTTTTCCCTTCTCCAAAAAAAACAACCAAAAAAACTCTGTTCCTGTTTCTTTCTGCATAATTATTATTCGCTTAGAAAATATGGGTGTCTGGAAGTTCTTTTCATAGTTTTCTTCATCGTTCTTAAAATCAACTTTTTGATCTGTCAATGCTGAATGAGACTGGTTGTTTCTGTTATCAAGTCGGTTGTTGTTGTCTGATGTCAGCCTTGCACCAGCTGAGTCAGGAACTAAACAAAACAGTCCACTAGCTGGAGTAAGATGATATTACTGTCATCACTTCTAGAAACCTTGTTATGATATCCCTCTTTCCAGAGTGAAAAGAGTATCCACCAGCTGATTTCTTGGTTGACCTGGATCACTTTATTCTTTTTTTAGTGTCTGATAAACCCAAGCGTACCTTAAGATCTGTTATGATATGTAAGTTATCCGGGCATTAGTGCCCCTGCTTAACCTATGAAAAAGAAATGAAAAATTCTATGGAGCACCTACTTCTCATATTTTGAGCTCATAATGCTCTAGAAGTTTTCGAGCAAATGCCTTTTGTTTTCAGCGATTCTCCATATTTTACTTCTATCATTTCCATACTGATTTTTGCAGTTCTTCCTTCGCTACTGATGCTGACAAGTTGACTCTATATATTTCCTCTAGAACCAAGTATACCACCTTTAATCCAAGTGTTAGCTCTATCTAGAGTGACTATTTTTTATTTGTGTTAATATGATGTGTTGATTCTTCTCCTCTTTTCTGTTTTAACTTTCTTTAGGTGTTCTCTTTTTATTAATCTAGTGGTTATTAGTTAAAACCATAACCTGCAATGTCTTTTGGGTTAAAGGACATCCCTACTTATGTATTTGTCTGGATGTTTTTTTAGCAATTCATTCAAGCTTAAGATTTTTTTCTGGGTGTACTTGGAGCTTGTTTGGATTGGCTTATTTAAAGTGCTTTCAAGCCTAAATAGCTTTTAAGCACTTCTGGAGTATTTTGGGTAAATTAAAAAAGTTCTTATAAGCACTTGGTTTGAAGCTAAAATGATAAAAATAAGCCATAAGTACTTTTAAGCACTTTTGGAGTGTTTGGGTAGATTATAGAAGTGCTTATAAGCGCTTGGTTTTAAGCTAAAATAATAACAATAAGCCCAAGTTATAAGTTAGGATATCTAACTTATGATTGGCTTATATGTCAAAAGCCAATCCAAACAGACTCTTAGTTTGTTGGGGAAACTCATTTTAGTTGTTAAATTATTATTTACTTTATCAATAGAAGAACAATGTTTTTAAGAATTTAGTTATTTCTTCAGGTGGATTGCGAATTATCATGAACATGAAAGTCTCCTGCAAGAGAATGAAGATGAAAAACTATCAAAAGAAGAGCAGGAAATGGCGTGGGAAGTGTACCGCAGATCTATTGAATGGGAAGAGAGGCGAGTTTCGCCTGATGAACCTGTTGCGCAGCAGCGTGTCTCTACCACTGAATCATTGTCAAAGCAAAAGCCAGTGATTCCCAGGGCCACCATTTTTCCGCCAGAGGACAGTAATCTTGTATTTTCAGTGGGGAGCTCAAGATGCCGTTTGGTGCATAGGAAGTGCACAAAGCTATCACATTTGCTTACACTTAGAAGTCAAGGCACAAAGTGGGGCTGCAGCACTGTTTGCGGGGAGTGTGCTCAAGAGATAAGGTGGGAGGGAGTTAACAAGGATGGTAGATCAACAAAGTGATGCCATCCATGTATTTATATTATAGTACAGTTCCTTTTGGGGTGATTCAATATACTGCGAGGGACTTGGTAAACATTCAGTTTTAGGTTTCAGCCATGACTTGAGAAACAATATACTCGTTTTGGGGTAGGGTAGATGGAAATGCTCTTCTGAGACTTGGCTCTTTGTAAAGTGAAACTCTTGTCATCAGTTGTATTTTGAAATACAGAGGAGGAATATCTCGTTTGTCTGAACTAGCTTAACTGCTATATCATATTGCAAAAAAGGAAAATCCCTCTTTTTTCTGCTAGATGCCATAAATATTGTCCAAGATTTACAATTCGGTTATTTGTGACTTCCTTATGTGAACTCTAAAAGTGCATCCAGAACATACTGTCTGATTAGTTGTGCATATTTTTTTTATATTTATATATATATAAAGGGAGACTTCTTATTCTAATTTCAGTGTTGCTGTATGTTAAAAAAAATAATCTCGAGAGGTGACTAGAAAGATGTCTCTTAGGGGTTGTTTGAAATAATGCATGCATTGACCAAATGCATGTATTACTAGTACCTTATTTGGTATATCTTTTCTGCCTATAATTAGTTATACACTCTTTATCATTTATTGAGAAATGTTCCAAGAGGATTTAATACAAGCATTATTTTGGTTAAATACCCAATTGCTTCTCAAAACCTTTTTTACATTTTTGCAAACATTATTAATACACTCTATTTCGCATTATTTTTATACACGCTATCAAACGCACCCTGATTTGTTGAACATGTATACATACTGTGGATCATGGAAAATTTATGATTGTTGTTTCAGTTTGCATAGAATTGGCTAATCAATCAGTACGAGGTGGGATTAGACCAATTCATAGGGGTGAGCAGCTATGCCAGACCACCTACCATCTTTCATCCCCCAACCAATTGTCCTTTTCCTTTGGTCCTGTTGGCCCTGCTTCACCATAAAGTTCAGTTGGAAATAGCTCAATGAGACTCTCCACTGAAAATCTCATGAAAAAAGGAAGATGCTTGATTATTTTTTCCACTTCTGATCTCCCGTTGTATATGATGGTTGGACCCCATTCCCTCATATACTGCAACCATGGTGGTTCTGCAACAACTCCCTCTCCAAGGTACTCGGCAGCTACAATTTGATATTTGCTGCTAGAGTCCACATAGTATTTGCTACGGGCACAATCGTTTCTCAGTCCAAACCCGAGTTTAGAAGAGCCTTGAAGATAGCAGCCAGGATGTGGGAAACTCGCGTGGCCATTTCTTGATGCATATACAATTGGCTTGTTACCCTCGATGAACTCCAACTTGCAGGCATCTACCCATTCACCACCACTATGTTCAGAGAAATACACACTCCAGAGCTCACCAGAAAAGTTGCTGATACGGAGTGTGTAGTGCTCCCAATCACCGACATGCTCTCCTACTTTATTCAAAGTAAAACTCAACAATCCAATCTTGACAATAGCCGGTCCATTGAAAGGACAGAATATCCACATTGCAATATCTGTGAAGGTTCCTCCTAAAGATGGTTTAACATGAACATAGAGCTCTGCACTCTCAATGTTCCCACATTTGACACTGGTTCTATTTGCATCATCTTTATTTGGCAAATCAAGCCAATATTGACCATCGTTTAACCCTCCTGCAGGCAAGTTTGAGCCTTTTGAGTTGATGACTGTACCATTATTCCTTCCATCTTTGTAAAGGAGAGCTCCATTCATGAAGAACCATGGAACTGAGGAAGGCAAATAAATCTCATCTGGATGGAGATACATTGTTGGTCCATAGTGCTTGATGAGGGCATGTATCTGCTCAAGATTGGGCATTGCGTGTAGAGAAGAGTCGAGATTTTTCAAGCATGCAATATCAAGCTCATCTCCAGAACTGAAGCTTGTACTACCGAAGAACGTCCCAGCAGAAACCCCTGCACAAAGCATGCCCCTCTTGCAGGGTCTAGTTTTCCAAACTTGAAATTGTTTCCTTTGGAAAAAAGAATCTGAACTAAACATCATTTCAGAGGCCTCACAATTTTCCGTCAGGTCAGCTCGGACACATCTAACTTCATCAGGATCAGGTTCATTAGGCTCAACAGAAGCCAAACATCCTATCGATTTATAACCAACCGGTGCATTTGGCATCCAAATATAACCGCCTCCATTGTATTGTGAGTCTGAACTCCAAATTAAAGTGTAACTCAGAGGTTTTTGAAGGGCCGGAAGTTTTGAAGCTGAATCTTGGACATCAGATAAGTCTTTGGCAGCAAGAACATAGCCAGTTATATGCTCACCATCTGGCTGACAGTAGTGACCAAGGATATAATATCCTTTTGGAATTCCATCTGGCTTATAAAACGAAACACAATTTGATTTTCCAAACGATGAGCCGCAACCCCAAATTTTCTTAAATTTGGTGATTTGAACAACTTCAATTTCCCCTAAACATATTCTTCCTGTTCCAAAACCTTTTCCTACAAAACAACATATGTCACTAGCAAACTGAGCTTCTATTCAGTATGCCTCTTTTTTCTCAATTCACATACATCCCACAAACAAGGCAAAATACTAAACAAGGCATGACACAACATTCTGAATAAGAAACAGTAACTACAACAAAATAATATGATAAGCAATGTGCGAGGAACAATAAATAGAAACAGAAATCGAAATAGCTCTATCTAAATTTAGTTAAATTTGAAAGCTCTCAGAAAATCTAACATTTCAAGCCTGCAGATTTGAACAGTTAAACAGTCACAACTCCCATTCCCAGCCATACAGTTGACCAAGTTCATGAATTTCCAAGAATAGAACACCATATTTGACCAGGTTCATGAGTTTCCAAGAATAGAACACCATATTTGACCAAGTATTAAACAAAAAGTCAGCAGGAAATTCCAAAAAAAAAAAAAATCTTTTGTCCAAGAATCTTCTTTCCAATAAGGTTTTTAAGAGGAAAAAAAGAAAAAATTCTGCTCCATGAAGCAGAAATTTTTCTTAGTAAGAAGTAGTAATTTCATTTTGTTGACCCTTTTGATCATAATTCATAAATAAGCATAACATACAGAAGTACACAGGAATTGAGTTCAATTAAAGAAATAAAAAAAAAGAAACCATATATATTAATTTCTTCTTCAAACAATAACTGATGTTTCATCATATTCAACATGCACTGCAGACAGACACAAAAACAGGGCTTTTATGAAAGAGAACAACAAAAATTGAGAAAAATACAAAAACAAGAAATTTGAAGAAGACATACCTTGAGGCCATTTAGGAAGGGGTAAAGGCAAAGAAAATTTCTTTGATTCAACAACAGGGTAATAATCACATAAATTGTCCCAACACCAACACTCCCTCCCTAACATATTTCTTGTTTTTTTTTCCTCCCTCTTTCCAATTACAACACAAAAAATTGACAAACTTCAAAACCCACAAAAATATTATCAAGAATTTGATCTCAGCTTATCAAGATCACATAAAAATGATAGATGGGAGGTGGGGTTGGTCAGTATAGCAGTCAAATGGAAAATGAAATTGCTTGACAAACAAAACAAGAAAGAGAGATTTTTTTCTGGTGAAGAGGTTGAGTAAGAAGAGATCAAAGTATATATTTACAAGTTAGGGGCTGCTGCTGCTGCTTTATTATTATATTATATCAATAATATAAGGAGAAAAAGTAAAGTTGTTCTACTTGACATTGTTTGACATTGCTTTGTACCTCAAAGGAGGTGGCTGTAGCCAGGTTTGGGTCCCTGGGGATCGGTGGGGTTCTAACTTATTTATTTATTTTTAACTTTATAAAATGTCTTTAGTTCACTTTCTTTGTACTTATCAACAAAAACAAATATTTATACATCAATGTGTACTAGTTCATAAACATGTGTGTTGTACATATATTTTATGTTAATTTTAACGTTAATGTTTTAAAATGATATAAACAATATTGAAGTATATATGTGATGAAAATCGTAGGAGAAAAATATATTTGTGAATTAATGAATGATTTGTTACAATTTGTTTACCGACTCTTTCTTGTAGTTATACTTTAAATTTCGTTGAATTTCAAACTTATTCAACTGTCGTAAATCACACTTGAGATTTTTTAAGAAGAAGAAGAGTGGAAAACTTAAAAAAATTAGAGTTTAAAAATGAAAGGAAACTCCTCTTATTTATAGCTAACAAATGATAATATGAATAGACGTTAATAGTGTCTTATTATAAAAGTCGCACTCTTTCGAAAAAGTCACAACCCTTCGAAAAAGTCATAAGTTCATACTTTTAAGATAGTATATCTATAGATATCGATTATAAATAAATATTTTTTTATATATGAATTTCTAAATGAATGATTTTTTTTTTGGAAAAAGGACAAATATACCCCGAACTATCGTAAATGATATGCATATACCCTCCGTCATACTTTTGGGACATTGATGCCCTTGCCATCCAAAAACTAGAGCATATATACCCTTTATACTAATGGACATACACGTGTCATAATCTTATCCACTGATCCGATATTTATTAAAATCGAATCGACGGATAAGATTGCGCCACGTGTCCCTATTTAGCCTTCCGTTAGAGTGAAAGGCATATATGCTCTAGTTTTTGGACGGGAGGGGCACCAATGTCCCAAAAGTATGACGAATGGTATATGCATACCATTTACGATAGTTCAGGGTATATTTTTCATTTTTCCCCTTTTTATTTAATTATAGTCTATAGTCTAACTTTATCTTTAATAGCTAAAATCACCACATTACTCCCTTATTTCTCTCCTTCTCCATCCAATCTCATTGACATCATTTAAATTTGGTTGGAAACGCTTTCTTTGACGGTAGTTTGTCTTCGGTGAGCAACATATTTTATTTTAGTAGTCATTAAGTTTAAATTATAGTGAACATAAGTTAACCATTGAAAGCATTTGGTGTTCTATCCGGTGGCTAACACTGACGCCATCAACGATGACTCTAGCAACAAGTCTTGGTTGTGATTCACTGTAGATTCTTATTAGTGAAGAACTCAGAGGAGTTGGATGAACTGTATGATGGTTTTTTTAAAGATTAATTGGTTGAAGCTACTGGTAGTTTGGCGGTGAAGAGCTCAGCACAACTTCAAATCAAGAAAAATATTCAATAATCAGAATCAACAGGCCGGTACCAATAGTTTTAGAATCTGCATAAAAATGATGCGGTAAAAGTAGTATGAGTAAGTACGAAAATATGAATATTCAGTAGGTGGTATCATAAGTTGACGGAATAGGAACTAATTACTACTATATCATAAG